TCAAAGATGGTCGGCAGAGCATTGGGTTCAGGCAAGCCTTCTTCAGATCCAAACCCATACATACATTGTTTTGATATACGGCGTCCGGAACACATTCCAATTAAAAAACGGTGTGCTTGCTCAGACTCGTCTGTTTGCATAGTGGGAACCTATCCCTTTAAAATCTCGGTATGGGAGTGAAAAGGGCGGTAAGCGGGAAGAACAACTTCGACGAGCGCTGTTCGTGAAAGCCTACGGTTACACAAGTATGGTATCGTGCAACAGCACGAGTCAGTTGCTTCGGTGCCATGAGAATTCAGCAAACCCGTGAACAAGCAAGAGACCAATCAACACGTCAGATGATTGAGTCAATAGCACGACCGGTCACCGGATAAAAGCAAGTGCTATGCAGCGGCAGAACGATGACAGCTCGAAAAGTCAATAGAGCAGTCTACGAGGGAAGCGCGACCAGCCGCAGTGAGGTCCCGCAGCTGGACCTTTTGTAATGTTGGCTGATAGGCCCCTTCCTCCTGCTTCGGAGGGGCGTCGCTTCAGTTCTTCTTTGAAAGTGCTTTTCCGGTTAATTCGTGCATAAAATCACCAAACGAATAATATTCGTGATGCCTGAGGTCTAATTAACTAGGCTCGTGTGTTTTTTCTTATATTTAAAACTGCTTCAGCTTCCCTTTAAAGGGATACTACAACGAAATTTTGGCGCTTATTTTATGGTCTATATGGTGTTCAAAGGAGCAGTATCACATCGAACACACCAATGTCTTGTTCAAAAAGTCACGAAAAAAAATTTTAAACGAATTAAATTATTAGCAAAGAGCACCTGGTGGACTTCGCAAACGCCTCAATTGTAATGCCCGTCTAGGAACCTTGACAGCTAGTGACGGTGAGTGTCTCGCCTCCGGCCACGACGAGAGAAGGGGGAAGGAGGAACTCCCGTCTTCCCGAGAATCCCTTTTGTGTGTTCCAGAAGTGGCTATTGTCCCCCTACAAGATTATAGAAGATTAACCCGTCACTCTAAATTCATACTACAGCAGCCGCTTCGGTAGCTGGAACGACTAGGCCATCCCCTCAACGTCAACCTCGCCATAGCTTTGCTCGTCCCGAGACGACCTACGTCACGATTGCGTCGGATCTCACATGCTCCAAGCACTTGCTAGAGTGGGCCGTTTATAACAAAAAATACAGCCACCAGGCTCAAAATACAAACGTGCGATTGTCATTTACGATATTGTGGATCATATTCAACCTATTTTTGAACACGACGGATATATTTCAAATTTCGTTGAAGTATCCCTTTAAAGCACTACTGTAGGTTTTCATATTTGTGGGTGGTGGTCTTTGCAGTTTATGCTGCTTTTTGCTGGCACTTTACAGGAATCATATTTACAGGCAGAATAAACTACCAAGTGTAAAAGGGAGAGGGGAAGAGAAGCTTCGTATCAGTTGAAGTGTTGAGCTACGCTTCATTTGTAAATCATTTTCTAATACCCATTGTAAATAGAATCTACTTTGATCTGAGCGTTATTTCTAAAAAAGAAGGCTGTGTTTGTTTTGCATACTACCTATTCTTGTACAAAAGATAATTAGTAATATGCTTCCATATTAAAGAGGAATCCTCAATCATTATCAAGGATTAACTTATGTAGAGATCAATCCAATCCCTTTTTTTTATTTTCAAGTGATGTCCCAACAGATGTTGGCATCTGCTCCAAAAGCATCAGTGGCTGCTCCAAATCAATATTTTGCCTGCTACAAAATGTCCAATGTTGCTTCCATCACTGAACAGTCCTTGGGATTGGGCTGGTTGTTTTATCATTCGCGGATTGAACTGTTCTGCTAAGATTTGAACATTCAAAGAAACCGGGACTAGAAAAAAAATAAAAAAGACATACACAAGTAAGCACAATTGCACTTGTGTGTGTCCTGTTTTCTTTCCTAGTCCCAGTGTCATTCAATGTTAAAGTTGGTTGGTTTCATGGTCCCTTTAATACAAACAAAATTTTAGAAAAAGAAACCCAATTTTTTTTAATGAAAATGTTCACCCCTCTGGTTTTAACATCTCAAATTGAGCCAAGGGGGGCGGGAGGGAGAGTGCAAACTATTTTTTTTTGGTAATGCAGTGATGCGATTGGTCTGAGGAGCAACAAGAACTTTTGGAGCATAAACACACTCTTCATTTGCATTCAGACCAGTGCAAATATTATGTTAAAATGAATGTCTTGGCCTGTCCAACACAACACAGGCAAAGTAGACAATGTCTACCTTGCCTTCCTACCTCTGTGCACCCTTTTATTAGCATCAATTGCACGGCGTGTTTGGTTCCCTCAAACAAAGAACTAGCTGTCTGAAGGGAAAGAGTGACAAAGTATAGTCTGAACTGCTGTGAATGGTTATATCAGGTATGGTGTCACAGGTAAACCAAATAGTATATTCCACTGAAATAATGTTAGAATGGAATAATCTTGAGCACCCAAAGTGATGATTCATTTAAGCTTGTAATAAAACTGCAATTTTTAATTCAGATAAAAGCACAGCTTTTGTCATTTGATAATAACATCAATGACAGTAGACATGTCGAACTTCATGATAGCAAAAATCGGCATGTGAACGATAAATGTGCCTTCTTAAAAACAATTCAACCAACCTTGTCAAGGGTATTCCCAAGCTTCCATCCAACTTCACATAATTTAGTCTTAATTTACTCCATCGACTGTGCCATCAAACAGATGGAACCTATATAAAGGTGATAACTAAACAAGAGTTGACATAAAAAATGAACCTACAGAACAGTCCATACATATCTTCTCTTAATACCCAAGTATCCTAGCTAAACCTTTAATTTGAAAAATATATATACAGAATATTGCATTCTACTATCATATTCATACATGTGTACTAGCTGCACTTTTATTCAGAAATTCACACTGCACGAGAGTTCTTACTTCAGCACTCACCAGGCCCCTCTTTCTTTTTTTTAATATACCAGGCATCTGTTTGTGCGACTTCCCACTCTGGACGGATGCATTCCCCTTATACTCAGTTTCACCTTACGTCTGAGCGCAGCGGATGCTACGAGCCATTGCAGCCAATCCAAGGCCGTGTGAGTGTTGTGTGACCTTGGAGAGGGGGCACAGCGACGCGCGGAAGGCGTATCACGGGTTCCGTCCAGAGTGGGATTGGCTAGGATAACTCTCAGCGTTTGCCGCCTTCGCATACAAGGTGAAACGGAGTATAGTATGCGGTCGCGTTGCGGCGAAGCAAGATACGCAAAATCACGATGCTTACCTACTTCGCAGTTGTCGCTTTGCTGCAGTATACCAATGCTCGGTGAGAAGCCCACTCACCGAAACTAACTAACCCGCTAGAGCAGACCATGAGAAATATTGTGAAACTTCCCGAAACTAGTCTGTCAGTGCTTGATAAAGAGACAAAATTGAATAGTACATTATTCGAGGCAACAATCAAAAGTTCTGAAAATTTGGACAAGCCTACTGTAACAATTCGGTCTTGTAGCAGGACCTGAGCTATTATATTTTGAGTATTAGTAAACTGAAATTATATTTTGGCACAGTGCTGGCACAAATTCCTCATAGTTTTGCAAAACGTAGCAGGATGTAGCAGGGTAAGTACTTTGGCACAAATGCAGTAATGCGATTGCTGCTCCAGTTGAGCCAAAGCGCTTATCCTGCTACATCTCACCAAAATATGATGTATTTGCACCAACATTGCACCGAAAGTTAATTTCGCTTTACCAATACAGATACTGATGGTTCAGGCATCAGTATACTGCCAAATTGTTATAATAGGCTTGCACAAATTTTCGACCCTTTTGGGTGCAACTTAAGATAAGTTGTGCTTTGATGTGATCTTTGTATCAAACATGACTCGGTGCACGGAAGTTTGGGAGCATTTCTTATTTTTATTGGGGTCTGTTCAGGTGGTTTCATTAGCTCCGTTGAGTGCACTGGTCACCACTCTCTGGAGCACTGCAAAGAAGCTATGCCTGCAGAGTTGGCATTGTAATTTTGTGTATGTCGCTTCGCCACATTGCAGCATTATGTTAAGGGGTAAAACACTGCTGCAGCCACGCATCATGCATTTGAGGAACAAATAAAAGTTAAAAACAAAAATTGGTGAATGCTGATTCACAACATATACGGGGCAGTTAAGTTTACAAAATTAAATCCAGTCAGTCTATATGATGGACTGCGCCATTCTGAGAAGGTGTGTGCATCATTGGGTGTGGTCGCTTTTTTTCTTTCTTATTTTGAGTTCAAAGGGAGGATACTGCGTACTTGGGTATCGGTAAAGGGTTGATGAATTTTGTTGATTATGTGTAGCTGGCCTGGGCTATTGGTTTAATTTTTGTTTACTTACCACCTCTAAATTGGCTCCCGTTCATTGATGCAGTCAACAGTTTAAATTAAATCAATGTTAACTTTAGCAGTGGAATGAAAACATGTGAATAATGTTAATAAGTTCAGCTGAATTTTTTAATGCACATTTGTTCTCCGCATGCTGACTTTGCACCATCATAAATTTCTACATGTAAGATGTCATTGATGTGCTGCTTTGCAATTTAATTATGTTTTGCAGTTGATGCTGAGAAGTGGTTACGCAGAAGGGGGAAAGCAAAGATGCACTGCATTTTATTTGGACAGGCCAACACGTCTTTACACAGTGTTTGCAGTAGAATGAATATGTTTGTATGCCAAAAGTGCTTTTTTTCTGCTCCAAAAGGTGCTCCAAATTGAGTCAAAGCAATCACATCACTGCAAGAGATCACTGGTAAGAAAAACCAGTGTCAAGCGACAGACCCTTTTCAACGTCGAGCAACGCAGGCAGCCGGCATGTTTTGGGCCTCGCTTCCTGCGTGGGATTTGAATTAGAGTTGACCCAAAATATGGCAGCCTTGGATAATGGACGCAGCAGCTCCCAAAGACTGAGCAGACATAGCAGGGCCAGTGTTTGCCAGCGGTGGGGTGAAGCGGCGCCTTCCTCGCAGGAGGAGGAGGAGAGCTGGTGGCTGCCCTCACAGCTGGACAGCGAGGTGGCCAAGCTCACAACCCTCATGACAGGCCACGAGGTGCCCCAGCTACGGCTCGAGCTGCGCCGCTGCCGGCGCCACCTGCAGCTGGCCCTGCAGAGCTTCCGGGAAGAGCGCCAGGCACGCCAGGGCAGCCACGGGCAGAGCCGGGACCTGCTGCGGGCCCTCTCCCGGGTCCAGCTGTTGGATGGCTGGTCCGAGTCGAGCTGTTGAGTCTGTGATAACGGCCAGTGCCTTGCCCAGACTGGAAGCGGGGAACACGCGCAACCGCCCCGTTTCTTTTTCCGGGCACACTTTGCCAAAAGCTTTGTTTTTCACTTCCCCTCTGTGCAATTCATGGACAGTGCATTTTGTCCAGCTGTGCTGCTGGTCGAGCGGGCTGTGTCGCCTCGACATGTTCCGTTTTGCTGTGTTTAGCCAAAGGTCCGGTCTGCTGTCGTCAAAGTATATCTCTCCCCATATGGCATTGTTTCCGCGTTGACATTAAAGAAAAAGAATGTTAAACGAATATGCTGACCATAGAAGTTCTATGGACATTGCTCCGACGTGTCTCTATTTTGTGGGCATTTGTGCGAACAGTTGTCGTAGTTCCTGTGTGCTTGCTTGGCTGCATTCTTGTTTGGTTTACCCAGCGTTCCGTCGCTTTGTGTTTGGGCAGATCTGGGGCCCATGTGCTACTCACTGCCATTCTACCAATGCCATTGGAAACGTGCGTTGGCAATGTGCGCGGCAAACGCAGTGTCTCCAGCGTGTAAATAAGTGGCTCCCCGTGTGCCAACAAATCTGAGACTTCTTTGTCCGTGTACTGCCATCGCGACTTTTGATCACAATTAGTGTCATCTGAAAACATACTGTAGCCACATTTTATAAACCTACATAAAAGAGGAGAGCCAAGCGACTTAAACGATGAGAGGAAAGATGAATGTACCAATGAATCTACCAACAGCATGATCCAAAAGAACAGTGCTTTCCCGCTGTTTTTGGTTATTGTTACTCGAGTTATCTCAATACTCTTTATTTTTATTTTGTCATCCCATCCAACTAGGCTCCAAAGTTTACAAACACCATTAGTGTGGTGCTTTCAGAGAAACTGTTTCATTGCCACCACCCTACAACAAAGCTGCAGAACCATTTTCGGTGCATTTACTGTAGGGAAAAGTTATGTATGTCTTGTTTGAGGAAAGTACCTGCTTAATAAAGTTGCATATCATGTTCAGCCTTCAATGACTCACTAAGAACTGCACTGCACTGCTACTAATGTGCATCTGGGCCCGTTTGCTCGAAGCGCTAACCGCGGCTAAAGTTAGCCGCAGTACCTAGGAGAGGGATTTTGAGATCACGTGACTGGGCTTGGAGGGATGCGGGGAAACATGGCGGTGCCCCAGTGAGTGAGCGCCGCTCGCTTTGGAATTAATATGTCGTCGTGGTTGCAATATCGGGCGCGTTAGTCAGCAACGAATAATGTAGAAGGCTTTCGCTTTGCCTTACCTCACTTAAACCGCAAAGCATGGGCAATGACATCGCCGCATTTTTTAGATAGTGTTTCGATTCTGGGAATTCCTAAGCCTAAAAGAATGCGATAATTGTCGGCATGGCAACGTCTTTGGAAAGCGGATTGTTGATAGCACACAAAAGTAGACAGCGTCCCGACAGACTTTTTTCTAAATTATCCAAGCATCGCGAGGAGAACGCTGGAAGTGTAATTCTACGGTTCACGCGCGCTGGCCTTCCTCTTATAAAAGATTTGAAGTAAAAAAACATAATAAAGCTTTAACGAACGCGCGTGCAAGGCAAAATTTGTTTTATACTTTTTGCTTTAGAACGGTTACTATTGCAGACGCCAGCACGTGCGACGCGTGCAACTACAGTCGTAGCATGCCTCGGTGCTAGGATAATTTGGAAAAAAGATCTGTTGGGATGCCGTCTGCTTTTGTGTGCTATCAACAATCCGCTTTCCAAAGACGTTGCTATGCCGACAATTATCGCGTTCATTTAGGCTTAGGAGTGCCCAGAATCGAAATACTATCTAAAAAATGCGGCGATGTCATTGCCCATGCTTTGCGGTTTAAGTGAGGTAAGGCAAAGCGAAAGCCTCCTGCTCCATTCGTTGCTGACTAACGCGCCCGATATTGCAACCACAACGACATATTAGTTCCAAAGCGTGCGGCGCTCACTCACTGGGGCACCACCATGTTTCCCCGCATCCCTACCGAGCCAGTCACGTGATCTCAAAATCCCTCTCCTAGGTACTGCGGTTAGTGCTTCGAGCCGCGGGCCGCGGTTAGTGCTTCGAGCAAACGGGCCCTGGTGTTGCTGTTTTTCATCATTTCGTTAGTTTTGTCTTAAGGGGGGACACTGGCAAGAGATTTAATTTCTGAACTACTCAAGTGAGCGGAATTAAATTTAAAGGGGAGATTTAACATCACATGCATGTGTATTGTGCAAACTTCCAGCTCTCTAGGGCAATTTTACATACCTGCATAAAAAGATATCACTCTTTGTTAAAGGCCCATTCACACTCTTGTGACCTCTTAAAACTGGGTTCCTTAAAGCATCTTACAACCAGAGAACACACTGGCGCCCTCTATTGGGTAGCAGTGTAAACTTGGTGGTCCAGCATATTTTCTGTTTCTCTCGCGCATTATCCTTTCTTTCTTGGCTCGAAAAGCTTTTGTCAACGTTATGAACAAGCTTTTCTTATAGGTATTACGCACATTTGACCTCGGAAATCCTGCGAAACCTTTGCTTTTGTGAAATGCAGTTCCAGGGTCACCGCCTAAATGGCACCAGAATGTCAGTGTGTTCCCTCGTCCTAAGAAGTTTTAACAGATCTCGTCTCTCTCGGTCATACTCGGTTGCAGGAGTGTGAATGGGATTAAAAAAATCTATTATAAGCAAATGAAGCTATAAGCATCATTTTGACTGCTTGAATATAAAGTGGTACATGGCGAGACCTCTGGCTATCTTGTTTTTGTAACTCAAATGTAAATATTTCAGGAAGAGTTGTTACATCAAAATATGAGATGCACATCTGTCCTAAGTCAATTTTTGAAAATGTAGTTTTTTCTCAATGAGGTTTTCAACTTAAAATAAAGTAGATAGCCCGATTCCCCAATAAATTTCACTTATAAAAATATCTTGATTGTGGTATCAGAAGACTTTTAAACAAAAGATTCCTTCAGATGAAATCTGCAGCAAAAAGTGGAAATGAGAAAAATGCATTCAAACATTGAACTCCTTCACTTTTTTACTGCCTTACAATGTGTTGAAAATATTTTATATCAACGTAACTATTCGGCGCATGGTTATCAAATTTAGTGTAAGGGTGTACAATTAGTTTCTAAAACCAAAAACCTCAAATTTGAAAACTGAATTTTTTCAAAAAAATTAGAAATTTAGGCTAATGTCTCCAAGGATAGTGAACCGAAATTTGAATTAAAAAAAAAAAAAACAATGCAGATTTAGGCGGGACGCTACAATCCCTACTACACTACTCGTAAGGCGATATCTCGAATGGACGGCCGTATTTTTAGAAAAAGAGGTCGAGATTAAACCAGGCTGACGAGGCGCGTGATGTAGAGATGTCTCGTTTCCTCCTCTCTTCGCTTCACTCCCTCAAGGCGGCGAGGCGGAGAAGACGTGAGGGCCGTTCCCTCTCCTTCTCGGAAAAACATGACGTGAACATTTCTGTCAAATGCGCCTTCTTTTTTTATTTTAAATATGGTCATCCATTCCGAGATATCGCTGTATGAGTGATGTTTTGGAGTTTGTAGCATCCTGTTGCATGCTTTTGCCATGTGTTTTGTGGAATCCAGATTTCGGTTCAGCATCCCTCCAAGATGTTAGAATTTGTTCAATAGTCCTTCCTAATCAGTCCCGTTCGGCATTCTACTTGTAAAAATCTGCTCTGTTGGTGGGGTATGGGACAAGCTCTGGTGCACTATCAGAGTTCTCTGACCACATACACAGTGCTGAGGAGATGTGAGAGGATGAGTTGATAAAGCACCCCCAGTTATATTAAAAATCAATCTACAAGCCATCCCATTTTGTTCTTACTGCCCAATAGTTTGTATCCAGTAGCCCCAACGAATAAAAATGGATCAAATTTGGGAGTCTCAACCTAATGAGCGTAAATTTTCGTTGGATGTGTGTTTTGTTGTCAACTCTAGCTTCCTAAAATTTAAAAGTGCAACTATCTCTGGCGGTCGGCCATTTGGATACAAGAAGGGGGTTTGTTTTAACCTTCAAATGGGATAGAGTCATGCTTTCAAATTCTACAACGTTAAAACTGACTGCCCCAAATAACTTTTGAGGAAAACTTAAAAAATTAGTTCCTGGCTGAAGCAGTATAGAAAATGCCTAAGGCACACCATGCATGTCATTGTCACATACATACAGCATGTCCCCCAAAAATGTGTCTTCGTTCAACGGCTTGGTGGCGTTCCTTCAGCCGTGCAATAAAGGCGTACGAAAAGGACACAAATAATTGTGCTCGCTGTCCGACCATGTACTGTAGCAGGCATGTGAAGTGGTTTGGCTTCGGCTACGAAAATAATTAATGTGTCGGCCCATCTTGGAGAGCGCCGGGTAAATGAGGAGCTGGCATAATTAATGTACCAGCCCGTTGTGGAGAGCAAAGACAGGACATCCTTCCAACACTTCCTTGCTTCAATTTATTCAAACGGGCTGTACAAGTTGATTGGTTTGGCTTGCGCCGATGCAATACTCGATTCCTGCATCCACAGATGCCAAGTGGGCGACCAACCTGACTAGCATGCTTCGCATCCCCTCAGGAGTGCTGCCAAACGTGAGCCAAGAAGAGAAAGTGCTGCTCCAGCGCTGGCATTGGAGAGCACTCTGGAATGTCGGGAGGCTTCAAGCCGTGGTTTCAGCTTCAAAAGGCTTATGTACAGCGTCCGCAGAGGCCACCATTATGAGATGCAATTGCTCCTGAAAGTAAAGTTATGCACTTCACAACCTAGTCACGCTCACCCATTCCACACAAAGTTCTGCACAACACGGGGAAATTAGCTATAATTAGGGTTCCATGTTTTCGGATAAATTGGGAAAACTTTTTGCCACTTAGTATTTATCTGCTGAACTTGGATTTCCGGAGTCACGACGGCCAAAAAGAAAGCCGCAATGATTCACATACACCAGGTCAGGGAGCAGGGTCTCCCAAGGAGAGGGTCACTCTGGTTCTCGGACAATTGACAAAATCATCTCTCTAGAGGGTGGTCACTGGACTTCCTACAGGGAGGACAGCTAGTGTTCTTGTACCGCGAGTATGGCGCCCTATATATGATTCCCTAGATTTTGTGGAAAGGGGGAAGCTCAAGTTCCTATTCACTTCTCACTGCTCTCCCTTTCGTGGTGAAAATGAGAAGCACTCTAGTGAAGGTTCCCGGTTCCCTTGCACTGCAGCCGTGGCACAACTGCTCGTAACTATAGCTTGCAAACGGCAATTTCTGAATGCAAACAGTGCTATTCAGTACAGAGTTGGAAAGCCTTTGACCAACAAGGGACAGTCAGTGTTTCTACCAAATTGCGTTTCTCAAATTCCTCGACATCCAGGTTTACCCTCAATATTTCTATTAAATTCACTGACCCTTACAAAAGAAGAAAATGCAAAGGATGGGGTTGCAGCTGCTGTTCGGGCTGTCCCCATTTATTCCGGTGAATTAGTGGCTCACGCTGCTTAACGATGCCTCGGGCAATGGTTACTCGGTGTAAAGGCCATCTACGCCACCGATTGCCATACCCTCCCGCTTCGTAGCACGTCACTGCGCCGCCCAGATCACCCATTCTCCCTGACAAATCAACTTTTGCAGATTTCCCTCCAAACTTTTTCACATCTCGCGCTCTGCTTGCACTGACCTGCAGCGGGGTCGTTGCGCGTGCAGAAAGACTATGAATTTATGGGTAAGGAAAGTGCTACACAGTCATATTTTATTTCATTTATAATTTTCGTAGATTGGAAATACAATAAAACTAACCTCAGAATTTCAAATAATCTGGAATTTAACAGAAATAAAGTCCAAGAAGCACCGATTTTACAGTAAAAAAAACACGGAAAAACGCCCTCCAATTTTCACAAAAATAAACTTTGAAAACATGGGATACTAGCTATGCTTTCTCACTAGATTTCGCTATTGTGTAGAGGCTGACAGACACACACAATCTGGCAGATTGGTGGCCCCAGAAGCAGAAATGGCATTTAAAGTGCAATACTGAGAACATGCAGCCATTCAAAGGAGAGCGCACCATCGCTGGGCTCCTAGGACGGCTGGGGCAGCCGCTTGAGCAGCTCGGCGTACGGAGTGTCTGGGTGGGCCACGCTCCTCACCACGCTGTGGAACTGCGCCCTGTGCTGGTCCCTGGCCAGCTGCAACAAGGAGCCACACGTTAAGCCCCGCCCTCACGGGCCCGCTTTCACAGGTTCCGCTTTCACGGGTCCCGCTCACCCACCTGCCGCTCAAAGTCCAGGGCCGAGATGTAGAAGAGCTCCCGATCGTGCTCCTCGAGCAGGCCCATCCGGCCCCGGATCAGCGGGAACCTGCCACGGGGGGTCAAGGCCAATGCCGCCACTCGGGGCTCAAAGGACGCTCCCAAAACTCACAAAACAAACACCCTCCCCCCAAAAGAAAAACACTAGCCCAATGCAAATTCAGTAGCAAGACTCACTTTGAGTGAAGAGGTTCTGAAACATGCTTCTCTTTCGGCACGTTGATTCGAAATAGAAGCACAAGAGACTCGCGGCACTTGAAATAGTCTTGCAACATAAATATTGTGCTGAAATGTTTTTTTTTTTTTTTTTTGGGGGGGGGGGGGGGGGGGGATTTAGTGTTTTCACGAGGCACTGCAAGTTTTCTCAAGTGTATAGTGCCCCTTTAAAAAAAAAAAAAAAAACTGCTACTAAAGGTGTTTTTTCTAAATTTAAGGGAGAACACTACTTAAAAGGGTCAACTTTTGAACCTTCGGCTTAATATAAAAGGAATTTACAGGATAGACTGGCATTTGCAAGGTAGAATGTGGTGTAAAGTTTCATCTGCATACATAAATTGTGAAAGAAATTATAGTTGTTTTTATCGGGAACACACTGACATTGTTTTGGGAAATCTATCGTTAAAAAACTAATGTAATACCCAACATTTTTCTTCATTAGATACGCAGCAGAATGCCTGAAGAGTGGAACTGTGAAAACAAAATTTCCAAAAAGTAGTTTATTTTAAGCTAACGTCGCACTGAAAAATCCAATATACCTTTTGCCTATTATGTCACCGACAAAATCTTAACACATCAAAATCATTTTTTTTTTTTATTATCCAGAACGATTGAAAACGATGCCGGGACATTACCCTCAAAATTCTAAACTTGGGAATTCAGTATTTCTGAATTAAAAAACAATTTCCAAATGCCGAATTTGAAGTTCCTGCGGGATGCGCGCCAGTGCAGTGAGTCAAAGTTTGCGGTCTCTTGCGACTCGACTTTCTTTCGGACCTCCGCTCCACGCTAGGAAGCAAAGCACCGTTGCCACCATGACCCGAGGCAAGGAGGAGGTGAGCAGGCGGGATTGAAGGGCGTCGGTGCGGGAAAAAAAATGTTTCTTCCCCGACTCGCCAATAAGCCTCTGCTCGAATGCCGCCAAGTTTTCAAAGGGAGGATACAAATCCAGGAAGCGACATCACACCGAAATTTGATTTTTGGTATTTCAAAAAGAGGGGCCGTAGTGCTTCCGCAATTGCATTAAAAAACATGTTTTACGATTGCCGTTATTAAATGTTATAGAAATGTCGCCTACAAAGCTTCTAAATTTCCTGATTTTTGACGTCACTGATGAAAAGAAGCAAGGAGGTGAGCGCGGGAGATATAAACGGCAAAAATAAAAAGGCGCGCAAAAAAAATTTTTTTTTGCGACATTTTTTTTTTTTTTGTGTCTATGACTACAACTTCTATTGTTTTAGACAATTAAAAAGAATACGACCTTTGGGGTGTCAGTGCCCCTTTAATATCTTTTATAAAAGACATCTGCAAAGTAAAAAAAAATACAATGCCACAGTCGCAACGCCCATTAAAATCCAGTTGGGAAACCAATGAGTGAGCCTTTCTTCTAGTCCCGTTACCAAACGATAGTTTGGGAACGGAGGAAAAGGCATTCAAAGTGCTCGAACCTCTACCTTTTCTTTAGCATTGGTGGACTGAAAATAATTTATAAAAACATAACTATGCAGTGTAAACAAATGCAACTTTCTGGAAATACTCTCTTGATGTTGGTGGATATAAATATGGAAGTTTTCAAAATCTACTTTTTTTGCAAATTTTTTTTTTCTGGATATTAGTTTACATTTCAATTACAAATATGCCCTCGGTTTTTACATAGGCTGATTAGTTTGGCTACCACTGAAGATTTTGTTTGCAAAGGTTATGGGTGTAATTAATATTTAAATCAGGAAACAGACACATCTCAGTTAACTATAGTTAGAAGACGGGTTAAGAAGCCAGTAAATGCTCTGCCTCAAGCACAAGCTTTCTGCCTTTGATATTTCGTCGCAAGCGCAGCCAAAGCCAGATAAAAGACAATGAGCACATACTCGAGGCAAAGCATCTACCTATAAAGTATCAAGAAAAAATCTGGATGACCTATAGGTTTTTTGTAACACTTAAATTTTCAATTTCAGTACTAGTTTTTAAGGAAAATGTTGGAGGTAGTATTTAGAGAAATTTTTATGCTGTATTTCACATATTTACACCTCTTACTGAACACCTCAGTTATATCTCTACCTGAAAAAGAAAAAAAATAACCAAGATTGCTTGCATACCATTGGAGATATGGCTTTCATAAAGTAGATATATGGATTTATGCCTAGATATAGATATAATTATCTCAGTGCCCATCAACAGCTGAGTGGCCTGGACAGCAGTGTGCAGTCTTTTAAAACACAAAAACAAGTAAAATCATAGGAGAGAACAGCAAAGTGTGTAAAAAAGCTTCTTCTGAAATAACGAAAAAGGAAATCGGTGCACAAAAGAACCTTTGATTCTTGATGAGCAATATAAAAAGTGCCTAAACATCTTCAGAAACATGTTTTAATTTTTTTTTTTTTTTTCACATTTATTTTAAAGCAGCGAATAATTGGAAGCCGAACTTGAAGTATAAAGGTTAGAAGCCTTGGCACCCAACTAGTATTTCTGTAAGTGACGGCAGAACCAAGAATTCAGATGGTCCTTTTGTGATGTAGTGGCCCGTCAGGTGCAACCAGCCAATTGGATTCTGCTGCAACAATAAATTCCCTTTTCTTCACTTATCAAATATTTGGGGTCAAACGGCAGTGATATTTGAATTCAGCAGGCACAAATACGTCAAAATCCACCTTCAACTCAATCTTTTTCAAAACCTCTTCAGCTTCCCTTTAAAGCTGCTTGCCATAGGTTGTGCTAATACCGGATTGTTTCTAAACGAATCATTTGAGCAAAAACTGATTGATTGCATTATTTTTTCTTCTCTGCATCGTAGCAGGCACTTTCTCTTTTCGCGTCCCGATGTCTTGCATGTTAGGACTTTGTATAACACGTGCACCAGTATTTGCATTGTATAGATATCAAACCTCCGCACAATTTCCTAGACTCGGCACCGTGGGTGAGTCTACGTTCAAAAGCACCAGAAAGGATACAATGCACGAAGCCAGACTGTGGCGGTGACCGCCACAAAGCAGCAGCTGAGACTCCAGATGGCCATGGCCAGTGGTGACCGCTGAGTGAAGTTGGAGAGCGACAGCAGCACCCAGTCGTGCATGAGTTCCTCGTGGTTTCCCTCGTGAAGGCCCTCGCACACCTGTGCACAAATGGTTTGGCTGGCAGCCCTCCGACCAAACTGCCACCAGGCGACCCCTAACTGTCGCCCAGAGCACCCGTTTGCCTAGAGCCATTCACGAGAGGGTTTGAAGGAGATATATGGAAATTGCGAGTGTTCCATGGTTACTCGATAGATGGTGCTAGTGTGTTCCTTCTTCGTAAGTTATCAAAAGGATGTTATTGGCTGCACAATGTACTCGGTCACAACCAAACACAAGAGTGTGAACTGGGCATTTATTTTTTCTAGAAAGTATGTCCTACAAAAAGAAACAGCTTTCTTAATTAGATGACGAAAAAAGGCCTCGACAAGACAGAAAAGTTGGTTAAAATATAATGTAACACGCAGTGGCGTAGCCAGGAATTTTTTATTTTTCCGGGGGGGGGGCACTGACGCCCCTCCAAGCCCCTTCCCTGTCTATGCCACTGGTAACATGACAAACGAAGCAATGACCACTATTTATTCGAATATAGCTCATTTTCTTTTCCAGGCACTGTGATTCAAAATCAAGGGTCGAACTATAATCGTAAGAAGAGAAGGCTGACCTGCAATAGTGAGCAAAATATCCAACACCATCAAGCTAACCTATTCGCGACTCCAGCAAACTAATAGGAACGCGCTGCGCTGGTCAGGCAAAATGGTGGACGAAAGGAGGTCGTTTTTGTCATTCAGCACGCGGACCACCATAAATTTCTTTCACTGCAGCGTAAAGTCGGTGTTACACATGAAAGCAAAGCGATTTTTTGACGGTCAAAACCTTCTAGTCAGTGTGTATGAATGACGTGCTGGAAGCATACAAATAATTACTGGAAACAATGTTTGTTTCTATGCTTCCTACAGGAACCAAGCAGCAATAGCAGAAGACAGAGTAGAAACGACCCCATCTCCTGAGCTTCTCGGAGTTGCCGTTATGCGGCGTCGGGTTCGCTGGAGTTGCCAATACTCATTGTCAACTCAAGAAAAAAAAAAAGCAAGTTTTATGCATTGTTCATACGCTGCACAAAGTAGTTTTTACAAGGTCTGGTTGTCGGAGGAAGAAGCAACAGTTTTGGGGTTTGGAACATGCACATAGTGATGAGATAACATATAAGTAATCTAAAATGCACCTACTACATCTATCTTGATCCTCCTTATAAAAGGCAAAATTAGTAATGCTTCGCGAGGAGCTGGACTTTTTTACTATGGTTCTTGAGAGGAAAACAAATATAGATGCTCTCACAAGTCAGTCCTTTCTGCACCGATGCAAAACATAGAGGTTGGACTTGCGCACCGCACGCTGGTGCAAATCGGTGAAGCTTGATGAAAAAAATCGGGCGATTCTGAAGGCATCATTCGTAATTTTGGAATGTTAAAAAAAAAAAAAAAAAACATTTGGAAGAGTGTGCCGCGAACCCAATCAAACAGCCAACACTATTTGAGAGTTATTCCAAGTTTCGAATATTTGCACACCTTTATAGTTTAGCTATTAACCATTAGGAGTCATATGATTTTTGGCCTTCTCAACCCTTGGGTCAGAACTACATTACAAAACGAAACAATCACTTTGTGATTACAAAATAAAATTCATCACCAAAGCGTACATGAAAAACAGCTAAAAGTGCTGGATCTTAAACCATATATACAACGAGGAGTTTCAGAATCTTGGTCTTCACTTGTGCAGACCAAGAATGGTGCAATGTGACATCACATGAAGTGCTAACATGATTGGGGTCGCATCACATGGGCATACATACATTGTGGTGTCATGGACGTCAGACACCACGTTACATATGACACTGCGTCACTTGACGTTATACGAGTGTCAAGTGATGTCACATGCGTGACGTCACACTTTGACGTGAATTCATACTTATATGACATATGACACAACTGACGTTATGTCCCGTGAGTATGACATCACGTCATTCATGACGTCACATGATTTGACCCTGACGTCACATCATGTGACACAGTGTCACATGATGTGACGTCATGTGACGCGGATTCGCATGGCGTGACACTGCATTCATTGTATGCCAATTCAGATTTTCCCACTAAATTCAGTGGGAAACAGTTCCTGCTAAATTTAGCTATAGAGGTGCTTACTGATGGATGCACATTAACTTATAGCTTGGTGGGTTTGAAAATGCTATCACACTTAAAAGTTGAGTGCACCTGACCTCCACTCAATAAGACCTTTTGCTAAATCACCCAAGTACCAAAAAAATGCTGCAAGTGGTTACCTATGCTGCACGTGCCGGCATCTGAAGCAGTAAATGTTTTAAAGCAAAAATTTAGATAAAGTAGCACTTTGCATTCCTCATATCTTACTTTGGTTATTAGATTCTTTTATACAAAAAAGGCGCATACATACAACAATTCTGATTGGGTAATTGGGCACTGCCATAGGCTCTTCCAGATTCCAGAGAAGCCGGATGGTCTCGCGGCACTCCTACTCGGGCCCAGCGAAGTTTAGCGCTTATGCTTACCTTGAACAGCACCGCGGCGAGGAATTGGGGGTGGGGCTGCTGGTTCGACAGGAACTCCCCAATCACCTTGTTCAAAATGTCCTGGGCAGGGAAGAACTCGCCCAGGAAACCCGGCAGGATCTGGCTGATGAGGTCCGCCTCAAACGGGTAGCCCCTCTTGATCCTGCATGTGGGCCCATCCACAGGGCGGCAGGGGAGCCTCCAGTCATCCCATCTTCAACAACACTATGGCATCTCTTCGAGCACACAGCCAAGGCGGGAGCATACTCATCCCAAAGAGATACCCCATGCTCATATCAGTGACTACAGTTGGGTCAAAGCTAGAACTCTAATAGTGTGACGGATAAGGAGTAAAACAAGTGAACAGAAACGCTGACATTTGAGAAATTTTAAAAGTGATATGACAGGTCCTTGGACTCTAAACGACGCTTGTTCAGGGTGACTACGGGTTATACTCAAAGCTGTGTAACCATCGAATTGGTCGAAATTACCAATCAGTATGGAGCTGAAGGACCTACGTTCCCATGATTCCTCCAGTGCGGGCCGGGGCGCTTGGCAGATTGAGCAAAGGGTCCATAAATGGCAGCACTGAACTTTTTTCAAATTTTGCTCCCATTCTGTCTGTGGCTAGAAACTTGATTTCAAAGGCAACAAATGTAATTCTGAAGACAACAATTAAGCAATAGACTACTTCCATAAAGCCCTGCATGCAACACGGCGCGCGTTGCACTCTGGGAACTAGTTGGCCAGGGAGGAGGGTGGCATGGTTTCGGTTTCGATCGACACGTCGACAAGAGATTGTTTTCTGGTCCCGAGAGCGTCATTTGTGGTCTCTAAACTAACCTAAATGGTCATACCTCGAAGCTTTAGCACAATCCCGAGACGTATAGCTTGTCTTAACACATGCTTGTTGTATTTTTGTACTTGAGCCTTCCTGTTAGCGTTCCAATCGAGGTATGTGGATGAGCCAGTGCTGCGAGTCTCGACGCTGCGAAGCTCGGGTGCTCGGGGATCTTGCTTGTGTACGAATCAACAAGCTGTAGCAACCAATAAGTATGCATATATCGAGCTCGCGCCTTTACATTAGTGTTGTTTATCAGGAAGTTTGCTTCGTGCGTCCAGAGACGAAATATTACTTTTTGCCCCCACCCGCTTGCATTCCACTAATATTCAACATCGCGTATGCGCATAAAGTTATCCTGCAATCATATAGGCAAATTCGCGCATACAGACCGTTTTAAGAATGCAAAGTCGAGCACTTGTGTGAAGAATGTCGCACCGTTCGCCGGAAGTGCGTCCGGCGCACGGTGCGACATTCTTCACACAAGTGCTCGAACGAATTCAAAGCGCATTTCACGGTTGCTAATGGCCATAATATTTGTTATGTGTTTGCTTTCTTCCTGCCTGAGTATGCCGAGATAAGTTCAGACACACCGTTCCCGGCACAGATCTCGGGCGTCAGTAAAAACTCGTCCAAAAAGGCTTAGCGAGGAGTAGGGGACACTTTTTAGGGCCTCCGTCGTAGCTAGCCGATCTCAGCGTTTGCGAAAAGTTAATCTTCTATTAGCATAAAATTTGAGTGGGAGCTATATGATGACACGAGGAAGACATCATAGTAACTTTTGTGCAGTAGAGAGGTCGAATTTATTGCGTTTCCTTAAAAGTTCATGCGTAAACGCTGGCCTCAACTTTGATACCCTGTGAGGATGCGGCTTACTTTTCGCCCAATGAAGTAACAAGAAGCGGACGTTTGGCAAACAAAGTGCGTGTAAGGCTCCAGACGAACAAATTTTAGTTGTAGTTCACTAGTACTAGACGGGATTACTGACATTGAGCTCAAAGATACACTTGTGGGGTGAGGTGACTAAGCCACGACTTACTACGTTCGCCTACGCACGCACAATATCCGGTGTTTCGGGAACCAAGGAAAGTGCCCCGGTCTTCGTTTTGCATCGCTCGACAATGAGTGTATTGTACGTTCGTGAAAAGTCAGATAATCGAAAACGCAAGCAGCGCCTTCGGTCGCGGCGTGATAGCATGAGATGAAGCTGCTCAGTCGAAACCGAAACTGAGTGGCCAACTAGTTCCCAGAGTGCACTGCGTGATATTTCGCCGCGGTGGGGCGCGTCGGTTTTGGAAGAAGTCCATTGAGGGTCAGAAATTCCCCAAAACTAAAAACGGTCAAGAGCTTAAAAACGGTCAAAAGCTAAAAAAAGCAGTAAAAAAAAAAAAAAGTTGCAAGAAAAAAAAAAAAGAAATCATGAGCCATTCCGTACTGTGAAGGTGGATGACCAGCGAAGCTGTTTAGCAGACGACACAGACCCACCCCAAGAAGCCAGAGGAAATTAGACATGCACAACAGGGCCGCCACCCGGTGGAAAGTAGACACGCGCGACGGGATCGCCACCCCAGGAGAGCGGAAGGAAAGGAAACTAGGCACGCAAGCGGCTTGGGAACGACGACAAAGAGAGGGCGGTGCGAGCATAGACATGGCCGACGCGGGTCGCACAGTGGCAAATTTCTCAGAAACCTTTATCATCTACCTGAGAGTCTACTGATCTTGAAAATGCTGCCTATTGATAACTGATCTACTGAATAGACCGACTGCTAAATTACCCAAGCATCAAGGAGAATGCAGAAAATGGTGTCCCACGCGCCGCACGTGCTGGCGTCTGCAGCAGTAACTGTTCTAAAGCAAAAGCCTAAAACAAACGGCATCTTGCACGTGCGTTTGTCAATGCTTTATTTTCGTTATTTATTTGAAATCTTTTATGCGGGGATGGCGTGCACAAGCAGCACGTGCAACGGTGCGAGCATAGTTTTTAGTCACTGCACACGAAAAATCCCTGGAACCCTAGCCATAAACAGCTTCGCTGTAAAAGGACTATTTTTACAAATTGTTTGTTCCTAGCGTCGCCAGGTCTTTTAGTGTGTTGAACCAATCAGCGACCCTCAAAATTCTGCCGGAGCTTCTCCTGAGAATAGTCTACTCTCCTTCCAACTCGTCTATAATGTGGCGACAAACACCCCATTTACTCATTTCTTAGAAAAAGGCTTGTGAGTCAGGTACTTTCTTGTGAAACGTGTAGAGTAAATCAATCTAATCTGCAGTATTTGAGAAAATAAAGAAGCCCCAAAAATTTGACGTGGGCTAGAATTTAGAGCATATAAAACATCTTGTTTGGCGTCTTGGCACAGGCCACATCATTGGATACAAACAATATTCTTGCCTCATCATTCACTGAGCCCCTCTTGTACAGCGAGGACCAAATGAATCGAAATGATTAAATTTTAAAAATCAGTTTTGCACTCTCTGCACTGTAGTTTAGCATGAAGGTGCGACTGGGTGGTCTATGAGCTTTTTTTTTTTTTTTTAAATATCGAAGCAAAAGTTTGCTGTAATCAAAAGTTGCAATTAAAACCAAAAGTTTTCTACAAACCAATATATTCAGCCTAACTTCTGATTAAGTAACAAAACTGATTTTTGAGATTTATTTAACTCTTTCTGTACCATGCCCATAGGCTATTGATCACCTGTGATCAATGATTTCCGCGCATTGCCAAAATATAAATTTTGTGCGCAGGAACAAGTGGTGCCATCTTGTGAATAGCCAAAGAACTAGAGTTTTGGTTTCAATTTCATATCATGCTTTCTCCCAAGCTGGTGAGCTATCAGAAATAAAACTCTGCTTGGCAGTGGCATTGTCAAACAATAGCGAGTGCCACCACCGAGCAGTGTCTATCATTGTCCAACATGACCATTACAAGAGTATAGATGCTTTGCACGGATCAGTTACTCGAGCCACCACCGGGCAGCCCACTCTCTGCGCCGCCATAACTGACCTTCACTTCTGCTCGCGGCCAAGGCAGGCAAGGCTTGCAGGCAGGTACCCACACCGAGGCTTTGCCGACTTTGCTCACTATCGTTTGCGCACAATTGAAATGGGGGACTGCAGTGGGAGGCGTAAACCCCGTCCGGCGGGCAAGATATGTTCTGTAGTTGCATGCAAAAACTGCAGTGGCGATTTAAAGGTCTGGAATGACAATGTGTGTGCTCAACATGCGCCCCTTGTGCACACGGATTGTTCATACTTAGTACCGTATTCGCTGCATCGATACCCCAGTGGAAAGAAGAATGAAGAAATGCGTCGGCAGGGGTTGGCGAACTTGGAAAGGAAAACCTTGAATCCCGGAAAGAGTGCAATGGTAAGAGCTGCTACTTAGGCGCACAATGTCGTTCAGCGTTGTGCCAAATGGCATAAGTAATTCCGCTGAGCGTCATTGTTTCATTCGATTTCAACGAGTTGTGAGCAATCGTCCGGCGCAGGAAGTTGTCACGTAACTTAAAGGGCATATGCTCATTCCAACGTACTAGACAAGACAGTGGGATAGACCGATGATCACGGATTCATAGAGTCACGAAGCAAAGGGACTGCAAAAGCACGATCACTTTGAGTCTTTGATCTCCAAATAATCTCAAGCTGAACAGTTCCATTTAAAGATGCCAACGATAAATGCCATAGCATTTATTGTAGCACACCGCCAAATTTAGTGAGGAAACTGAATTGGTGCATAGGTCGTGACGTCAATTTTTTCCACTAAATTTAATGGGGAAACTCCCTGCTCAATTTAGGACAACGCTAAATACTTGTCGTCCTTGAGATCACCCTAGAGGTTGTCCACGAGGTCGTCTTAGGTGTCATCCTCGACGTTGTCTAGGACTATGCCGAGGACGACGTCAAAGACAACGTCAAAGACAACACCTATAACGACCTCTAGGGCGACCTCAATGACAACCTCTACGACGATCTCAAGGACAATGTCCTAGGGAACGACGTCTAAGTTAACATCTAGAACAACCTTGAGGGCGATGTCAAGGCCGTCAGGTCTTCGGAAGAGGGTGTGAATGTGAAGTAGTGCATGCCGCCTCTTTGCATACACACAGTGCAATGGGGTGCAAGCACAGTGAGCTGAAATGGTCTACTGCACATACCTACTGCACATTGAAAGGCCAGTACATACATAGTTCAAAAACTTGAGTAGTAGCTTATTAAAAAAAAAGCTACTACCTAGGCTCAGATAGGACTTTAAATGATTAACCTGAAGCATAAGGTTGTGGCGATAGCCACTGAGAAAAGAAGAAGAAGATTGCGTGCAAATAAA